TTTGCTGAAAAGACTGAGAGATGAAAGGAGCTCACCAACCCACCTTGCACTCGGATATCTGTCTTATGAACATCGTGCTCAGTGGGACCCAGCAAGAAACCTAACAGGACGCTGAACAGTAGCCTGCAGTGAAACAACGGAAAATCGGTGTGGACTTAAAAATCTCATCTTCACGTCATCCAAACAGGTTTTAACTCCTGCCTGAGCAGACTGAACAGTTACTCGTCTCTGGCAGCCTATTTGCATGTAACCCTCACCTGATCGTTTTTGCTTTATCTTGTGACAAGCACAAAATACTGTCACGGGATGAACCAGACTTTGGACTTGGACAGGCAGAGGAGAAGGACAGTATCGTGTACAGTTAATCTCAGGTCAGAGCAGTGTTTCTTTGGAATCGCTGTAGGTGTAGGTGCCAATCAGCTCACTATCTGAAGTGAGCAATCAAAGGCACTGAGCTTGCAAATCAGATTGATCCTGTGCTGAGACACGTGACAGGCCACAGTTGTCCTTAAATATGGGATTGAGTGATGGGTCACATGCCAGCAAGAAAAACAAAAGCTTTTTTGAAGATCACATGAGCCATGTTGCAGTTAGTTGTTTTGATATCAAAACAGTAACGCAACAAGCTGCCACAACCAGTGCATAAAGGGACAAGGTTTCTGACCCTGACAGATGTGCACCGCTTGCCCCAGACCACACATCCCTCAGGCATGCTGGAGTTTCCCAGATCCAATTCCCCACATTGTCTACTCATAGTGGATACAGGCAATATCTAAATGGCAGAAATGCAGTTTAGCAGGGGCTTCACCTTTCGTGTAGTGTGGGGATGTGTGTTGCAGCAGCTGTCCCAGCAGAGAGCGAAAATCAGCTCTTCACCCTGACGGACTCCACCAGCTCCACCAAACTGCTGCACTCTTGAAAAAATAATGTACTTTAACTGGAGATGAACTGCTGGCCAACAACTGTTGCCTTTATGCACAACGATAACCCAAGAGAATGAAGCAGCTCTAACAAAATCATGGAATCCTTTCTACTTCCAGACAGGAAAGCGGCTCTTAACCATCCTGAGATGCGCACCCTTGTCTCCGGGCCTTGTCCCACACCGCATGCCCTCGAGCAGAGCCTTTTCTCCTCCTGCGGGGCTCCCCCAGCAGAGCCTCTGCTCCTCCATCAGGGCTGTGCTGCGTCTACCCGAGCAGTGACGGGGTCCTGGACGGGGTGCCGGCCAGCAGGAGCTCATCTGCTCCAGGCCACAAGCCTCGGTCCCCTGGGGTGACAGCAGCACCTCAGGCTGGCCCTCGCGGAGAGGTCACGGAGGCAGCACAGGATACAGAGGAAGGGAGAGGTTCAGCGCTCGTCCCCTCCAGGGCTGCTCCGCGCTGCGGTCAGAGGCAGCACCCCCGGCACCACCGTCAGTCATGGGACGTGGTCAGGCCGGGCAGCAGCTCCCCAGCCCGAGTCACCC